TCACATGAATGTTGGTGACTGAAAGCAGGGCAAAATGCTGCATGCAACGGCGGTGAAAAAACTCCTGATGTGCCGAAAATGACTGGCGACAAAAACGGACACTTTTGCCAGTCAGTTAGTAGTAAAAGTGCGAAAATAGAAACAAATGAGAACAGACTAGACCATATTACAACTGACCATACCAGCTAGACAAAGCTCAAAACTTAGCATTTGTCTGTATTTGCTAAGGCATGCAGCGTGAGCATCGAACCGTTGACGTTTTGCTCTGAGCAAGTTAAGCCGCGAGATTTGAGCAAAAAAAAGAGGCTTTAATCAGGATAGTTTTAGCAGGCGACAGAAATATACTGGGAGCCATACCATATTTGTGTTGACGCTACAAATCAGCGGTGACACATTGCTTTTCCAATGTCCCCCAGATCAGTGCTTTTCACAGATTTTTCAGCCAAGATTCACTACATACTAAACAGTATAAGATACCAAATACGAGAAGTCTTATTACCAGTCGAAAGAATTGTGACTAACCACAGCATCTTGCAACGAACGTGATCAGTTTGCTACGCGGCGTATCAAAGCGTTGTGAAGCATTTGAGGCAGATGGGCTCGAACGTTCGACGCGCGGTAAACAATTGGGTTCAGTGCAAGGCTGTGGGCTGCCGTTGGTTGCGTTTATGTTGTGAGACGCTGTCTGTTTTGAAACCCTTAGCAACTCGTCAGTTTTTAAGGCGCTGTGCGGCTTTTCTGAAGATCTTGCATGGAGGGCGTCCCTGATTTGACAGCAGACACCTGGTAATAGCGTTAAAAAGCCCGACCGATCTAGGAGGCTTGTTGTTTGTGGATACTGGAACTGCAACTTCAGAGGTCAACGGCAAACGTTGGAGCGACATATGTCAGGGATCCATCCGGGGCGTTCTGCTGATGAGAGGAACAGCAGATTTAAGGAAGGATGCCGAGCTTCGCTGGTGTAGGCATCTCATATTGCCGGTCACACCCCAAATTTAGCATTCCGACGAGTGAACAGGTGTGGGGTAAAACGCTTTTAATCGTCCTCATGTCTCATATAGAGCCAAATAAAGTTACTAGAGTTGTTAAAAAACATCGCTTCATATGCTGGTATCAGTATTGCATGGCATTTGCAGCAATTAAGTAGAATCATTTTAGGAAGTGTGCGCTCTGCACCTGTAATGATTATGCAACGATAGGGAAGGTCGCCAATGCTTCCAGCAAGTTGTACGGTGACGCCGCAGAACCAAACTGACATTGTTTTCAGGTGCTTGCACAACTATGCTATCGGCAAATATAGGATCAAAGGGATGCAGTTTTCAAAAGAAGGGGGGGGGGGGCGTACAGGAAGAAAAATGGTTGGGCCTCCCTCGAAATACACTTAAAATGGTTTTCTCCCCAGATTTGGCGCACATTTTTTCAGAGAGTTGGAAGGAGGGGTGCAATTTCTCAAAACCAAGTCTGGGGGACTGTCTCCAAAAAAATGTCTTCTGTCTTTGTTTCTCATGGCTCTCTGTATCCTGTTTCCACGTTATTCCAAGAGAAAAAGGCTATTGATGTTGTCTTACAAGAGACGTCACTTTCTGCGACCGTATTGCATCAAAAGAGCATAGACACTACCACTGTGACATCACACGTTTCTTGTTGGCCCCGCAATCAACGTCTAGCATGTGCAAGCATCAGACTAGACTAAACATCTGATTGCCCGCAAGGATTACAGCGGATGCAAGCAATTGTTATAATGTTTTTGGGTTAAAGGGTATGCCATTAGTTGCCACGGCTCGCCCGTGGTCAACTTTTTCTTTCGGTGAGCATCACAGGAGACCCACTGACCCGTTTGGCACGCGCCGATGGCATTGACAGCAGACACACGGTCTGGCTTGACGGCTTCCGAACAGCTGACTGAGACCGTTCCACATCGGGAGGAGGAAAACGGGCGCCAGGGGGGGGGGGGGGGGGGGGGCGCCCACCCTCTCAGTCAGCTTCCATGCATGCGGACCGTTTACTGGGCGCGGGTGGTAGACGTTGATATAGGTCGGTGAGTTGAAGGTAGCTGAGTATTTTTTTTTACTGAGAAGGTGAATAAAAGGTACTTTCGGTGTAATCAATGATCTCTTGGATACCTGTCGAGCCGAGCGATCAGACAACACGTGGCTCAACAGCACGCGCTGGTTGTTCCATCTGCTTCAGTGAAAAGGAGGCCGTCCATAAATTACATCACGAATGTAGGGGGGGGGGGGGGGTGGTCTTGATGAAGCGTAACGGGGGTGCAACAGCGCGATGCTATGCTCAGGTGACAGGGTGTGGGTGGCAAGCCATGCAATTTTTAAAAATAAAACCTTATGTTTGAAGCCGTTGGTTAAAAAACACGCCCGTGGCTTGGTTCGCATCTGAGGTTAATTAGGGGCCAAATAGACGTTACACTTGTAGGATACTACAATGCATGCAGTGGGGCGAGCGGAGCGGGCGCGCCCGGCGTAATTAGTACGTAGCCAGGGGGAGGTAGGGTGGAATGGTGGCAAAAACATGCGTGACTTATCAACAGAGGTCATTAAGTGCAGGAAGTGTCATCACTTTTCGAGAAACTAAATAGGCTCCAATACGTCACGTAAAATGGAACATTATACAGGAGCATTCACCGACCGGCAGCGGCGGAGGCAGACATTATACCGTTACATTCCCAGACCGGTACCGGCGGAGGCGGACATTATACCGTAGCATTTACCGACCGGCATGGGCGGCGGCGGACATTATACCATAACATTCACTGACCGGCAGCGGCGACAGCGGACATTATACCGGAGCATTCACCGACCGGCAGCGGCGACGGCGGACATTATACCGGAGCATTCACCGACTGGCAGCGGCGACGGCAGACATTATACCGTAACATTCCCAGACCGGTAGCGGCGGAGGCGGACATTACAACCGTATCATTTACCGGCCGGCATGGGCGGCGGCGGACATTATACCATAACATTCACTGACCGGCAGCGGCGACGGCGGACATTATACCATAACATTCACCGACTGGCAGCGGCGACGGCGGACATTATACCGTAGCATTCACTGACCGGCAGCGGCGACGGCGGACATTATACCATAACATTCACTGACCGGCAGCGGCGACGGCGGACATTATACCATAACATTCACCGACTGGCAGCGGCGACGGCGGACATTATACCGTAACATTCACTGACCGGCAGCGGCGACGGCGAGCATTATACCGTAACATTCACCAACTGGCAGCGGCGGCGGCGGGCATTATACTGGAGCATTCACCGGCCGGCAGCGGCGGCGGCAGACATAAGACTGCAGCATTCACCGACCGGCAGCGGCGGCGGGCAGCCGAGCCGCTGGCCGTCGGTGGTGTCTTTCCTGGTCACACGACACGCCCCGGTCACGTGACGTCATTAATATGTGGGCATCCTGTCAGTCAATTGCATTCAAGCTCAGGAAGTTGAACATTTTAGGGTTGAACAATGCCATCCTTGTTGATATCTGTCTGTGAGCTGCAAGCTGGATATTTCCGTGAAAAATGTGATACAAATGTCAAGGATTCCCTGTGGCGGCTGCCTTGCTCCGGCGATGCTGCATTCCCCATACAAGCTAGCGAGGCCCCGCGGCTGGCGAGCTGCTGGCGACGAGACGCGACGCGGCTGGCGAGCCAGTGCGCGTCTTATCAGGGGAGGTGTAGCATATCGCTGGGTCGAGCTCAAAGCAAACCATTCCGTTGTTTTTAAATCTGCGGGCACACCGGGTCCATGCTGAAGGAGACGTGCCATGTTGTGGCAGCTGAAATAAGCCCGGCCCATTTATTACGTTCTCCCTACGAAGCTTAGTGCCGGCGCACGCAGTCCGACGGCATCAAGTCCGAACGCAGCCGGAGCGCGTGCGTCCGCCTCCGGTCGCCAGCGGCGCCCGTCCCCGCACGCGCACCACCTGTAATCGGACCAACGTGACGCATGTCCGCACAAAGGCTTCAGTGGTTAGATTCTGAAAGTGTGAACAGCGATTGAGGTCATCCTTAACGTAAGAAAAGGCGTCCAATGCCAAAAAAGCAAAACAAGGCCAGCATGTCACCCCCAAATGGATGGTGAGTGAGACAACCATCCCGCCTGTTGCCATTTCACGGTGTTGGCACACGTCCATCGCGCCGTTCTCCGCAACGCACGACCAGTGGCGGATACCCCACCAAGCATCGAAGTCTACTTTGAATCAGGCGGGAGCACTGCTAACAAGACCGCATTCCACAGCAGATTCTGATTTCGCTGCATCGCGCGATCGGGTCCGGCGAGACGATAAGCCGATTTCCAGCCACCCTGGCGACCCGATTCACCTGACAGCAGACAGCCGCCCGCGTTTCTCTGTGCCCCAATCCCATCCAAACCGGTGAAAGTGGAAGCTGCTGTTCCAGCCGTCTACTCCAGCTCCTTCATCGCGCCGTCCAGTGGCTGAGCGCCGATCCGATCAGCGTGCCGCCTCCGGCCGGGGGCGACCGCGCGCCGTACACGACATGGACCGGCACGGCGCCGGCGCCGCCAGTGGTCGTCATGGGCTCGCCCCTGCCGAGCTGGACGCTGCTGCTGCCGCTGCTGTTGGCAATGCTACTGCCTGGCGCCGGGGGCGAGCCGCCCCGGCCGGCGGCCAGCTATCAGGCCACGCCGAAGCCGACCCCGGCGGCCGGCTACCAGGCCACGCCGAAGCCGGCTCCGGCGCCCGGCTATCTGCCGCCGGCGCTGCCGCCCGGGCACCACGCGCTGCCCGGCGTGCTCCAGCGGCAGCAGCAGCGGCACGTGCAGCAGTGGGAGGAGGCGAAGACACACCGCGGGATGGCGGACGTGCAGCAGAAGGCGGGCGCAATGTTCTACTATCACGCGCCGAAACCGTCGCGATCCGGTCCCGCTGACACCGGCGTCATGCACAAGCTCAAGCTCAAGTTCGGCTCGGCGATGAGCGAGTTCAAGAAGTTCGCTAAGCAGCTCTCGTCACCCGCCGCGGGGGACACCGTCAAGTCGCAAAAGGCAGCCGCCAGGTCAGCCGGGTCGAGCGAAGCGGCCCCCGCACGGCGACGGTCCGGGTCACCGCCGTCCGACCGGCAGCCATCGCCGGCCGAGACCGCCGAAGAGACGACAGAACACGACCATCACCGCTGAGGAGGAGGCCAGGCGAGCCAGAGAGCGTCTGCAGACGGGTGAGTAGCGCGGGCGGTCTGCTGAGGTGAGGGCGCGGCGGAAACGACACCCGGACGCCGGGGGGAGGGAGGGGAGGGGCGCCCGGACAGGCGAGCCGTCCTGACGAGTCAGGGGGCCGGGCGGGCCTATCACTGGTCGGGGGAGGGTGTCTGGTGATATGAAGACGCCAGACGAGCAGGTGGGTCACCGACGGACGTGGGCTCCGTTACAGGATCACTGTCGTCTGGTATGGCAGCCTGTGGCCACCTGGAGATGGGTACGGTATAGGATCACTGCCGCCTGGTGTGGCGGCCTATGATCATCTGGGGGCTGGGTAAGGTACATACAGTTCGTCGGGGTGGGATGCACATGCTTAGCTCATATACACAGTTCGTCGGGGTGGGGCTGCACATACTTGGCTCGTACATCACAAGTAAACGCGTTCTCTTCGACGGTTTGTGGATGCCGTTCCCTCTGGTGGTTTGTGGATGCCGTTCCCTCTGGTGGTTTGTGGATGCCGTTCCCTCTGGTGGTTTGCCAACGCCAGGTCGCTTTGTGCTGTGTGTCTCTTGCTCACGCGATATCGAATATTTCCAATCGAGGGCTGCTTACCAGAATGGGAAGAAGGACACTCCCGTCCGCGAGTCCGAAGGATGAGTGTTGATACCTGTTTGTCGACGACGCTTCGCAGCGATCTTCAAGCGGGTAATTTCAAACCTACTGGCAAAATGAACGTTTCTTTGCAACAGAGACGCGTCCCCACATGCCTTCGCGGGAGTGATCTCAATACTTTTTTTAAACTCAAGTCGCATAATTACCGTCAAGTTTTCTGCGTCAGTCACTATGCGTGGTATGCGCCGTAGAAAGTTATACAGCGCAATACAGCACCCTGTCACACATCTGTGTATCACATCACCACGTGGCATATGCGGCGCTTCAACACGGAAATCAGTCTCCAGGATATGAACAATTCTATTAATTTTAGAGAAAAGATGCAAGAACATCGATCACGAGGTGTTCTCCGTCTACCGTTTTGTAAACCGCGGCTTCCTGTGCCTTCGCTGAGAATCGCCCTTCACCAGTGGCTGTGCCTCTTTCCAGCCCGTTGGGGGTTTGTATTCTTAGCGTGCACTTACATCGTCGCATATGGATGTGTAGCATCCTTGCGAGAAAACATTCACATGCCGCTGCACCCGCTGTGGAGGGTACATGGTCCGTTCCCAACGTTGTCCTGTCTGCTTTTGAACGTGCCAAGCTCTTCAACAATAGCTTGTACGACTTTTTTATTTTTAAAACCTGATGCATGTGTATGCAGGACAATCGTGTATACCATCGCCAATTAAAATAATAAATCTGACCCCGGCTAAGCTAGGACAGCTCCTATTTTACGGGCGGTGCCTCAATCGAAAACCAACTTTATTTCTAATTTCTTCTAAGTTCTAATTTCTAATTTCTAATTTCAGTTTTTTCAGTTTTCAATTTCAGAGTTCTAATTTCACGCGGCCATGGGTTCGTATAAACAGTTGCCTGTAAAGTTGCTGTCATTTTTAAGCAGCCCTTTCCTGAATCCCAAATGAGCATGATGGCAGAGGCCGCCGTGGTGAGCTATTTCTCTGGAAATACCATGCCACCTCAGTCGAGTAGGAAGCTTTGACACCAAAGCAACTCAGTGCACACGGCCTTTTTTGTTCCAGGTGATCTCTGGCTGGGTGAGTTTTTGGTCTGGATGTTCGGACTGCTGTACGTCGGAGGCGTTACCATCGGCTGAGACTGTGCATCGGCGAAGACCAGCGGGAAAGCCAATGCTAATGGAATGGATGGGAACTCCGGAATGAGACTGATGCAAGGAAGCTGCGCTGGTATGACAGAGGTCTACGGTGGTGCGGGCACCTCGAAAAAAGCGTGAGACTTGGGTTTTTACGCCGACGTTTTGTTAGTTTACTGTTGTTGGAGTGCGTCACAAAGAGGTGTGGGTTAATATACATCGCAAAAAGTATTTGCCCTATCGGTACACACTCAGGACAATTCAAGGTGGTGAATGAGGCTTAACGAAAATGCGTTACAATGTATGCGTTGCAGATATTTAATTTTCAAAGATGAATATCCATGAATATCAACGTGAGGTGCGATTCGATACAAAATATAGTGATACGCACGCATCGCTGGGCCTGGACGCATGCATGCGCATTAACAATAACAATGAATTTCGTAGGATAGCAAGGCATGCGTTGTCACTGCAATGATAATGGTCGTATGGGTTATCCAGGCTACGCAATGCACTCAAATGTTGCGTTGAGTCCCCTAGCTTCGCTGATTCCGCCTAAATTTACCATCCACGTCTTGCCAATGTCATCCTTGCTAGTCCTTTTCACTTTAAGGTTATTTTCCACCTGGCACATTGTTCTATATGCATACATGCATGTCCGTTTGATTCGTTGCCCGCAGCATGTGAAGTTTTACAAATAATGTTAAAGGTTGCTTGTTGTCCATTGTCGAGCCGCCAGATGATTACAAGTTAGGTCAAGTCGCGTGTGTTATTACCTCATCGGAGCTTTCCTTATTTTGCAGAGAAAAGCTGGTTCAAGTCAAAGTGCATTACCACTATTTATTTTCAACAGGTAGCATCAGATCATCAGAGGGCCTTCCATGCTGATCAGCTTGCCTTTGATCCTGAGTACAATATGCATTTTTAATCAAGGCGACGCATGTTCGGGATTTGTTGCAGCTGATTATGCGCTTACTAAAATCGAAATTTGGTATCACTTCCTGGACGAATACAACGGAATAGCTCTGTGAATAGATACAGCCTTTTCTATCTACGATGAGTCTACTGCCGGCAGCAGCCAATCGCCGCTTAGCAGCCACAGGCGCGGCCCGGGGGCCTTTCTCGCCAGCCGCCGCTGGCCCAGAAATGCCGGCGGCTCGGAGCCCTCCACTGGCCGGAGTATCCTTCTCACTAGCCGGCGCTGAGCCAGGAGTGCTGGTGGCGCGGGGTCGCGCCGCTGGCCCGAGCATCCTTCCCACTAGCCGCCGCGGGGCCAGGAATGCCAGCAGCACGGGACCCTCCACTGGCCCGAGCATCCTTCCCACTAGCCGGCGCTGAGCCAGGAATGCCAGCAGCACGGGACCCTCCACTGGCCCGAGCATCCTTCCCACTAGCCGGCGCTGAGCCAGGAATGCCAGCAGCACGGGACCCTCCACTGGCCCGAGCATCCTTCCCACTAGCCGCCGCGGGGCCAGGAATGCCAGCAGCACGGGACCCTCCACTGGCCCGAGCATCCTTCCCACTAGCCGGCGCTGAGCCAGGAATGCCAGCAGCACGGGACCCTCCACTGGCCCGAGCATCCTTCCCACTAGCCGCCGCTGAGCCAGGAATGCCAGCAGCACGGGACCCTCCACTGGCCCGAGCATCCTTCCCACTAGCCGGCGCTGAGCCAGGAATGCCAGCAGCACGGGACCCTCCACTGGCCCGAGCATCCTTCCCACTAGCCGGCGCTGAGCCAGGAATGCCAGCAGCACGGGACCCTCCACTGGCCCGAGCATCCTTCCCACTAGCCGCCGCGGGGCCAGGAATGCCAGCAGCACGGGACCCTCCACTGGCCCGAGCATCCTTCCCACTAGCCGGCGCTGAGCCAGGAATGCCGGCAGCACGGGACCCTCCACTGGCCCGAGCATCCTTCCCACTAGCCGGCGCTGAGCCAGGAATGCCAGCAGCACGGGACCCTCCACTGGCCCGAGCATCCTTCCCACTAGCCGGCGCTGAGCCAGGAATGCCGGCAGCACGGGACCCTCCACTGGCCCGAGCATCCTTCCCACCAGCCGGCGCTGAGCCAGGAATGCCGGCAGCACGGGACCCTCCACTGGCCCGAGCATCCTTCCCACTAGCCGGCGCTGAGCCAGGAATGCCGGCAGCACGGGACCCTCCACTGGCCCGAGCATCCTTCCCACTAGCCGCCGCTGAGCCAGGAATGCCAGCAGCACGGGACCCTCCACTGGCCCGAGCATCCTTCCCACTAGCCGCCGCGGGGCCAGGAATGCCAGCAGCACGGGACCCTCCACTGGCCCGAGCATCCTTCCCACTAGCCGCCGCTGAGCCAGGAATGCCAGCAGCACGGGACCCTCCACTGGCCCGAGCATCCTTCCCACTAGCCGCCGCGGGGCCAGGAATGCCAGCAGCACGGGACCCTCCACTGGCCCGAGCATCCTTCCCACTAGCCGCCGCGGGGCCAGGAATGCCAGCAGCACGGGACCCTCCACTGGCCCGAGCATCCTTCCCACTAGCCGGCGCTGAGCCAGGAATGCCGGCAGCACGGGACCCTCCACTGGCCCGAGCATCCTTCCCACTAGCCGCCGCGGGGCCAGGAATGCCAGCAGCACGGGACCCTCCACTGGCCCGAGCATCCTTCCCACCAGCCGGCGCTGAGCCAGGAATGCCAGCAGCACGGGACCCTCCACTGGCCCGAGCATCCTTCCCACTAGCCGGCGCTGAGCCAGGAATGCCAGCAGCACGGGACCCTCCACTGGCCCGAGCATCCTTCCCACTAGCCGGCGCTGAGCCAGGAATGCCGGCAGCACGGGACCCTCCACTGGCCCGAGCATCCTTCCCACTAGCCGGCGCTGAGCCAGGAATGCCAGCAGCACGGGACCCTCCACTGGCCCGAGCATCCTTCCCACTAGCCGCCGCGGGGCCAGGAATGCCAGCAGCACGGGACCCTCCACTGGCCCGAGCATCCTTCCCACTAGCCGGCGCTGAGCCATGGAATGCCAGCAGCACGGGACCCTCCACTGGCCCGAGCATCCTTCCCACTAGCCGGCGCTGAGCCAGGAATGCCAGCAGCACGGGACCCTCCACTGGCCCGAGCATCCTTCCCACTAGCCGGTCGCTGAGCCAGGAATGCCAGCAGCACGGGACCCTCCACTGGCCCGAGCATCCTTCCCACTAGCCGGCGCTGAGCCAGGAATGCCAGCAGCACGGGACCCTCCACTGGCCCGAGCATCCTTCCCACTAGCCGGCGCTGAGCCAGGAATGCCGGCAGCACGGGACCCTCCACTGGCCCGAGCATCCTTCCCACTAGCCGGCGCTGAGCCAGGAATGCCAGCAGCACGGGACCCTCCACTGGCCCGAGCATCCTTCCCACTAGCCGGCGCTGAGCCAGGAATGCCGGCAGCTCGGGGCCGCACTGCTGGCTTGAGCATCCTTCCCACTAGCCGCCGCTGGGCCAGCGGAATGCCGGCAGCTCGGCGCCGCGCCGCTGGCCAGAGGCGCGCCCAACTTTATATTTATCTCGCCTGGCCTGTTCCGTGGGGAGGGGCTGGCGTGACGTCATGTCGTCGTCGGCGACGCGCCAGCTGAATGTCGTGTCGCTAGACTCGCCACCGACGCGCAGTTTGCATAGGTCAGCGCCAAGGTCGGAAGCCGAGGTATACTATACGATGAGAGCTACATTCAGAGGCTACAACGATTTGTTTTCACAATTACCTTTCAGCGTTGCTGGTAGGGTCACATCGTAATTTGGGACTGAATGTCAGGGAACACCAAAATGACTGCTATAATAGCGGTGCGTTTGTATAAAATATAATTTGCTGTACCCCTAATGCATTATCATCAATTGTCACACTGGCCACGCGAGACATCCCCCCTAAGGCTTAAAAACGCTGACGACGTACCGCCCCTACATAAGCAACAACGGAGACTTTGTGAGGGTCACTACTCGTCATAATGTGAGGGTGGCAGTGCACTAGATAGTGAGCTGCAGACACTGCTTTCGTCGTCCCCACAGCCCCCCCTCCCCCCTTCCAGGCTGCCAACACACAATGTGCCGTCAGCGCTGACACGCACGTCCGCGGCGTCAGCTGGAGCGCCGGAGGCGAGCAATGAGGCCCGGCCCTGGGCTCCTTGTTGTTCAAGATGGGGCGAGCGGGGGACCTGTGCCGTGATCGGGCTGGCGGCGGAAGGGTCGCACGCGGCGGGGGGGGGGGGGTCATATGGCCACCTCGCCTACTGCCGAGGTGGCCAAATGATCGGCCACCGGCTTCCTCACCCGAACCGGAACCACATGCCGTGCTCAGATCGGCGGTGGAGGGAGCGGAGGGAATGGTGCCTCCTGTCACTGGGCTCGGTGGCTGGTCGCCGACGTCTGCGGCCTTCGCGTCGGCGGTGCATACCTTCTCGTGCCGCCGCGCTGGCGGAGTGCCAGACATGCGGCGGCCCCTGGAGCGCCAGGCGGCGCTGCCAAGCCGGCTGACCTCTGCCTCCCGGTGGATGCTGAGTGTGACGCGCGGCGTAACCTGGCGGCGCGGCTCGCAAGTATTGGCTATTTATGCAGTGAGCCTGGTAATGTTACCCGATGTCTGCCTGACCTACCTGTCGTCTGTTGAATGGAGTATTCCACATTGATATGGGGGTTTGAACAGGAATAGTCATTTTGAAGGTCATTGGGTGCAGATCACAGCCCTGCCGTTCTTAAGAACTAAGCCCCTCTTGTTTCTGAGCTAAACGCCCGCGACGATGGGGAGGCTATTTTGCGGAGGATATCTCAATGTCACCTTGGCATTCATGACGTCATGATAACGTCATTTAAATCCTGCCATGACATAAAGCATGCGGCGATCAGGGCTGAGAAGAATATAATGGCTGAGTCGTTCATATCTAGCGTTTGTGAGCACGATTTCCCGATAAAACAGCAGTCAATTGGCTTTTAATCAATGTTGTGCGTGGTACGATTCTGTAATATAACAATGACATTGGGGGGCATATTTACTAAACAGAGAAATGGTGTGGATTAGAGCAGTTTTTTCTTTTATATGCCTGGTGCTTGCTTCGATGTCTTCAAATGTGAAACATTGCCTTAAAGGGAGCATTTCACGTTTGAAGACATTGAAGCAAGCATCAGATGTGATGAAACAAGCTCACGTATAACTACTGCACGCTTATTAAGTGGAAAATACTGCTCTAGACAACCCAATTTTCTCTTTGGTAAATATGCTTCTCAATGCGTCATGATTTGATTACGTCATCGTAATTGCCAAGGCGTCTGAAATGCTCTCCCTGATAAAGCTTTCCCCCATTTTCGCGGGTGTGTAGCTCAGAAACTAGAGGGGTTGAGGTCCTAAGAAGAGCAGGATTGTGAACAGCACCGGGAGGTCTTCAACATGGCTATTTCAGTTCAAACCCCCATGGAAATGTGGAACACTTCTTTTAAGCAGGTGTGCTCGGTACGCGTTTTTGACAGGGAGTACGCGTGCCAAAAAGTTTCTCAGTGGTATCATTACAAACAATCGGTAAATATGATTAAACCACTGATAACGGGCACCAATTTATCTCACTCGCCGTGCTTGTGTCATGTTAAGCGAGGTTCTTCCATGCGCATGTAAGGGTGGATAATGCTGCGAATTGTTAGTTTGGCAAAACCACTAGAATGGGCATCTTTCGGTGGAAAATAATTAAATGGACACAATTCTGGGTGAAGATGTGCCGTTGCCAAGCGTGCAGCACGCTGTATCCTCTACCCGTGCAAACACGCTTTTTACTTATGTGATTACATGAGTGAACAGCGTAGAGAGAGACCGTAGATACCTCGGTACTCACGATGCGCAGGGGATTAAAGCTACACGCAGCTTCTGACGTGAGCACAAGCACAGTGACGCTTGTCGCATCACATGCGACTTTGAGCAGCCTCCCGTCACATTCGTCACTTGAGCACAGGTGAACGCATGAGGTTTGAGCAGGTGATACCAAGATCCCCGCCGTATCAGGCATGCATGCAGCGAACCTATCTGTTTTGCTTTGTTTTTGTAAT